CACCAGAACAAATAATTCGTCATAAGTCATAATTCTTCATCTCAACTGCAATATAGACTGCCTGAACTTCAAAACTACCACCAGGCATGTAGCATGACCCAATAAGTTCAGTGTTGGGATCTCTTATTCATTCCTGCCTGAGTGTACCCTTATGTTTACCAAAGGACAGATTCATTACAAAAAAAGATAAGGCTTGTGTGAAGATCAAGCCTGCTAAGTAAACATGTTGCATGCTTCAATATGTGCCGATCAACAAAGAAAATATAGATAAAATAAAAACATAGAAGACCTTATAAAAAATGCGAATCAAAGACTCACCCACACCTTCCACTATGCCTAGTTACCCCCAGTCAGAATTTGTACCACTAACAGTGTTACTGTTTTGCCATGATAGGCAGGTACTGCATGCATCTGATGGGACAGACAAGAAATGGCACTTGAGATGGATAACATAGGGATACGGGGAGCAGAGTCAGAGTGTTCAGGAAAACGCAGGAAGTAACTCCACAGGTTCAGTGGTGCAGTGACTGCAGTGACGTAAAAGCACAGGGACGCGGAGATAGGGAGGGGGCGGGGGCGATAACAGGCACCAGATTTCCTGGTTTAACACATATTAGGTTCCATGTTTTTTAAACACAAACCCTAAAAGAAAAACCAATTTCCTGTTGTTCTGCAAAATTCATGCCTATGCAGACAAGAGATGGCAGTGCAGCAGGAACAGAAAAACGAAATAATAAGAATCCAAGAATAAAAGGAGACACTACTGTCTACGTCTGGAATGGACAAATACGAGAGAGACAATAACACGAGAATCACACGCCTCATCTTAAATTTTCCACGGACTGTACTGCTTAGCTCATGGAGATGCTTTGCCTGTAAACTATAACAATATTTTTGATAATTAAAATACAAGAGAACATATTTAAATGTCTCAAAACACCCCTGAAAGGTAATATTGGATTTCTCTTATGCATATAATGCACACAGCTAATAAAAATGGGAAGAATCACATAGCAAACTCACTATAATCTCTAATAAAAGCTCCACATTTGTTTAAAAATTGACTCAGGTGATATCTGTTATTGTTCGCATATAAATACTTAATCTGAGACAGAGTTAACATGGTTTGCTGTTAGTTTAAAAGGGGAATTCAAATATAATCATGCTTTTGTTACACAGCAGGTAGGACAAAGGATCGAGTACTTTTAATCTGAAGGTTGCTGGTACAGTCTGAGGAGAAACATCTGCTGTTGAACCTTCAAGAATTACTCCAGGTGGAATATTCAGCCATGTATGCGGATATTTGTAAGGCAAATACTTAACGCAAGATGATCACATATGAGCGGCTCATAAATAAATATTTGGTACAAAAAAAATTCACATCCAGCTACAGGATGAATACATTACTAATGAAATGACTAAGTGTGCCTATTGCCAACAGTGCAGATCAAGCAAAACTTGATTTGGAAAAAAAAAAAATCCCAAATAGGAAGTGAGGATGATGAAATAACTGAATTACATGGAAAGAGCTCTGTGTCTGACTTCCTGTTTGGCAGCCCATGTCAATCCCTCGACTGTGATAAATGTGTATGGTCGTTTCCTCCTAGACTCCGCAGGTAAAGCGTTCACAGGAAGGGATGGCAAAATTGTGCAAAATACCACAGCCACCGCTCTAACATTCCGATTCACTCGATCTAAATGGTGAGACCACGTCTAAATTATGCATGCCTTCCGATGCCAGGTCCACATGGGGTGTAACACAGAAACCATGTGACCTGTCCTGGAGGGTATCACGCTGTATCTGGGTGACAGAGAGAAGTCACCAGCACACACATTCATCTCTGCACCACAAACATTTTATATTACATGTGTGTCCAGTAGATACTTTCAGACATAAGAATCTGAAACAAATTTTAACTTTAAGAGTGACTTCAAATTTTTACTTTTGAAACACTCAGTACCAAAATATAAAATGTAGAGACCAGTTTAGCCAAGTGTAGCAACATCACAGGTCCGAAGAACCGAACAAGTCATGTAAAATGCAAATGAACTAGGGTGCTGCTCAAAATTTTATATTATATTGTAACAGGAACCCCACTAGAGAATGAAAGCTGATATCACTAAAGGGGCAATTCACAATCCCTGAAATAACGGACACGGACACACACACACACAGCTGGACGGCCGAGTCTCTCCCTCACCCTCTACATATCTACTTATCCCTCAATGTTTTGGGCGCGCTTCACCCCTTACCTTGGTGATGAGCAGTGGCTCCTGGTGTTCCCGGCCTCCTCTCAGAGTGAATCCCCAGGGTGCCCCTCCAGTGAGCAGGACCTCCACAAAAGTCCATCCTCCGCAGTCGGAGAGCCTCCGGTCCGGGGCTCCCAGCATCTGGACGTCATGATGCAGGACTGCCTGGATAGTTTTCGATTCTCTTCCCGGGAGCCGATGCTCTGTCCTGTGATCCATGGATTCCATCCTTTCCCAGGGCAGATCACTCCACCTAGAAAATCTAACTATCCAGCCAGCTAACTAGATGTCATTGGGGACGGGGGGTAAAACAGACAAAAACAACTTAGGTCAAACCTAGCCTCCCAGATCCTGAGTTTATTTGGAATAATCAACGACAGACGCAGATGATCGGACGATGTGGCTACACCTGTACCCTCCGGAGACCCGCTAATGCTCTTAAAAGCAGAATTAAACGCATCTCGCTCGAAGACTAAATACATCGTATCTGCTGCTCCTCTCACCACCAAATGTGTTTCCCCCGAAGGACCCACGTTTTCGGCCAAATGCAGCTGAGTTACTATTCTGGGCAAGGTGGGTGCAGAGACAGAGTAACTTATTTGCCGCTTTTATTAGCGGACCGAGGTTTCTTTAGCTAACCGAAGCTAGTCCTCTGCTCTACCCAACTTTCTCACGGCTGTCCGCAGTCGTCCTTCACTCGTACTTCGCTGTGTATTACATGTTAAAATTCACCCTTCCGAAAAAAATACATATTCACCCGTCCAACTCAGTTGACATCCGAGACTTTTTAAGGCTCCAGTTTCAATGATCCATTGGAGTAAATGGTGAATTACTTCCTTCCACAGCAGTGGCGATAGGCGGTCCCCCTCCCTTCCCAAAATCTTTTGTATCAACAGGCGGAATCGGGTTCCTCCGACATCAGACTCCTTTCTCCCCAATAAACTCGCTGTCCCGCCGGCTGTAGACTCACTCCCGCATCCGAAACAACACCGCATGCACTTCTCCGCTTTTCCAGGTTCACATTTCTCCACGACCTGCCGTCGCAACTAGGGCACAAGCCGAAACGACTCCTTTCCCAGAAGCCTGCGAGCCTTTCCTCACGGACGGCTACCTGGTTTCGCCAGCAGAGGCGCGGCGGGCGCTACCTGTAACCACAGCGGGCACGCAGGGACAGGTCCGCGCGCGGAACAACGCGAGCGCCCCCTTCCGGCCAGTGCGCGCAAATGCGGCTGCAATTACGCCACTTCGAGTTCTGTGCGAGGTTCAATAATAAACGAAAATAGCATGCGTAGAATCACACAATTATACGACAAAACATATAAAAAAAATCTTGGTTTCATTTCTAGACGTCAATGAGAAGCTCTAAAAATAATAAAGTCACACAGGAAATCAAAGCTGTACTAAAGTTCTCTATGTCCGCTAGTCTTTTTCCTCGACTTCCTCAGCACGGCCGCGTGGATTACTTATTAATCGGACGAGCTCGGTGGAAAAGAAAATTAATGAACAGTAATAAATTGGACCTGTGTATAATATTGCTGTATAGCTACGTCAGACACTGCACATTTCTCATGTTAACTATCAAAGGTCTGGTTAAATAATCATGCCCATCATTTGTTTTTGACTGGTTTGTTTTTAGCGTGAGCAAATGTTGATGCGGGCGCGTGTTTTGGTAAATGTTATCACAGTATTGTCCCTCTAAAAATCCTTGCAGGACTACTGCCCTGAAAGTTGGAGTAAAATAGAAAAAAAAAAGTATAATTCAAAATTTGGGTCCAAAGTCTGACAGCACCCTGGCAGCCACAAGTTCTTGAACGATCACGAAAAGCTCCGCCGTTCACTGTAATTGCAGACTGGGTATAGTACTAAATTTAGTACAGAAGCGCCGAGTAGTGCAGAAGTCGGGTGGAGATGTGGTCTTTCTAGGGTTTTGACGGCGCCACATCCAAGCGGGGATCAGAAAATATACTTTCAATTTATCAACTCTGAAAGCCTGTCAGTTCGGTTGGAAACGTCTAAACGTTATACAGGAGTAAACAGAATACCACAATATGGTTTTATTAAATAAAACGAAATAATATCTTCCAGCATGACACCTTTTATAGGTGATTTCATGAACAGCCTCTGCATTTCTAAAACATCTACGTGCGTATAGGCAGGATATTTCTATAAAAGAACTCCCAACCCTCGTTTATTCAAGTATGTGGTAATTCCGCCCAGTAAATGATTCTCATTTAATTAATCAATTATGTCAGTTTACTAGTGTTTATCCTTTGTGTGAACTAATTAAAACATGTGAGAAAGATTTGCGGTAATTTTCACATAACAGGGCGTAATATTTTTGTGTGTTGATCTTATTTCTTATTTATTACTTTAACTAATGCTGCTAAACATAGAGCTGCTAAACTGTTTTTCATTGTTTCTGTAACAGTGACAATAAAGATCTATCTTATCTTAATATTCACACAAACATAAACACACACATAGCCTATAAATATTATCGCGTGGGCATATGGAGCTCGTTCTATACTAGCAATGAGTGCGGTAGTTATGAAATTCGTCTGACTCGTGATATTTGTTTTGTTTGATCATTTTAAAGCCTTTTCATAAATCTCTAGTGACGCTCCTGGTTCTCAGTGTCAGGGCGTCTTCCGCTGAAAACGTCTCCATGGCAATTGAATCGGCCCAATCTCGGTCCTGTACGGGTCGGGAAAGAGTCCAAACTTTCTAGTCGTCGCGGTGTCAGCTGTGCCAAACGCGGAAGTGTACGTAAGGGAACCGTGTTCAGCATTTCCTGGTGACGTTCATGCTGCAGACGCATACTGTGATAGCAGTGTAAATACAAGCCACCGTCTTTTGTTATTAAACAACGGACACTCGACCAAACGAAGATGTTTCAGGGCTGGGGGTCGTGGCTTGGTTTAGAGAAGTCCACGGGGACAAGCAATGGGGAAAATGACCGAGATGATGTCGTTGTGAAAGAAGATACAACTGTAGAACAAGTAAACAAACATATAGCCGTAGATGGAAAGACTGACGAAGAGAGAAATGGAGAATCTGAAGCAAAAGAAGATGATCCAACTCAGCAACTTATTCAGCAGGCGAAAGGTCTCAGTGGTAAACAAATGTCGTTGACATGAAGAAAGGCCTTGCTTACGATTGAACGTTTTGTTTATTATCTACAATACGGTGTTTTCCGGTACCTCAAACTAATGTATGTCTTTATTTGTAATATATTTAAAGATAATGCTTGAGTTTACTTTAAGACCGCCTTACAAGTATTCTAAAGTAAAAGTAGGAACTGACAATAACAGAAACTTGCAAAGAAAAGGACACACAGTTAGAGATTAACAGAATGATGTAAAAGGCTGAAAGAAATCAAAATTAAAACTGTATTTAATTTTATCACGACTTCTGTAAAAATACCATTGACATCTTATATGACTGATTTTTCTGTCGTAAATTCCACGCAATTAACGGTATAATGTTTCATGCCCGGCATTTCGTTTTGGAAGGTTACTTGTACAGCTTCGCCAGTAATGCCACCAAGAAAATATCGGAGTCCGTAGTGGAGACAGCGCACACTATAAAGAAAAGTGTGGAGGAAGGGAATCTGGATGGCATCATTGACAAGGTATTTTTTCAGTCAGAAGCTGTCATGACATCACATCACCTGAAATGCAGGGGTAAATGCAAAGATGCGAGTGCAATAATATGGTGCCACTGAATAATTTGCGTGATTTTCTACATTTTGTTTTTTCTTATTCCCCAGACAATTTTGGGAGACTTTCAGAAAGAACAAGAAAAGTTTGTTCTAGAAAAGAACGCAAGGAAGACAGGTGAGGTTCAGTGCAATTCATCATACGTCAATATTTTAATAAGAACTTGCGGTTGTCTTGTAAAATTGCCCGATTATTATATTACTCCACCCTTTTTGTTCAGATGCCGCAGTGCCTCCTTGGGTTGGCTACAACGAGGAGGAGACCATACAGCAACAGATCTTGGCTCTATCGGCTGTCAGTATTGATAGATGTGGTCTTTCAGCATTGTCCACCCTCCAGTTGTTTTTCTGCACGCTATCACATCGCGATTATAAGGCGCATGCGCAACAATCACCAGGCATTTATGACAGGCGTCATCATTTCTCCAGATGCAGGATTTTCGGTACTCTACGAACATTTACTTACGTCCATAATTCTGTACGCCTAAAATACTAATGAGAGGCTTATCGTGACGTTCAAAACCAAGTTGGCGTATTGTTCTCTTTAATAAACGTGTCGGACTTTAAACTGCAAGAAGTACTGCCACACAACCGACGTCTTTTTGCCTCCTTTATCCACAAAATCTCCTCTTTGAAAATGTTGTGGCTGCTGAGCCGTCCCTTTCTTTACTGCCACTTCAAAGCTTATCGCTTCCATGATTTACCAGAACAGTAGCATGTGGCGTGCTTCGCTAACCGAATTTAATAAGGATACGCTGAATTTATACAGATTGGGCACTTAACTACGTGTCTTATTAATATTTTAGACGTAGTACTAATCTGCTTATTAAATTCTGGGCGTAAGCAGCCCCTGCTTCCCATCAAATAGGCTCATCTGAAGGCCTGATGATTATTGCGCATGCGCCGTATAATTGAGATTATATCGCGATATCGTGCAGCCGTACTTTCCAGATGTATTAATATTTTTCAATAGTAAAAAACATGCTTCCAGTTGCAGTGGTTACAGTAAGGTCAAATGAAATTTAATGCCATTTGTCTGTATATGGTCTTAAATGGAAATGACTTGCATTGGTGTCAGCTTACACTGCATGCCTTGTGTACCAATGACCGCCCCTGGTTCTTTTTAGGACCGGAGAAATTTTCTGCGTGACCCACCTGCCGGGGTCCAGTTCCACTTTGACTTTGACCAGATGTACCCCGTTGCCTTGGTGATGCTGCAGGAGGACGAGCTACTGAACCGCATGCGCTTTGACCTGGTCCCCAAACAGTGAGTATATGTGTAGTACTGTGTGGTGGGGGTGGGGAAAATGCCAGAGGCCTCATCGTTTCCCAGCATTCCAGGAGGTACAAAGACTGTCAAAAGGCCACCATGGGAGGACATGTCTGTCGCACGATATGGTCGGTAGTCCCAACCGTGGGTGTCTAAAACTGGTTGTCCATCTGCAGCGTAAAGGAGGACGTGTTCTGGAGGAATTACTTCTACCGCGTTTCGCTGATCAAGCAGTCAGCTCAGCTCACGGCCCTGGCTGCCCAGCAACAGGCTGCAGAGAAGAGGGAGGAGACCAGCCCCGGAAACGCAGAGAGCGCCAACCTCGCAGGTGCTTCTACACGCTGCTCATCCAGGAAAGTAGCCCTTAGGCTGGGTCCTAGAGACTAGGGACTAAGCTGAACTTCCACTAACCTCAAACTTTTGAGCAATTAGTGACTAAAATATGCACTTAGATTCACATGGTTGTTTTTTTATTATCTAAGTGGATTTGTTGACATCAAAGAGAGTAGATAACTTATCAAATTTATTTGACTAAATTTGCTTTTTGTGATCGGTTTCATGGACCCAGTAATTCACGCAGTTTCTAGTAATTTTGGACACCTTATGCTCTAAGTAATTTTAAGAGGAAAATACTCATTGTAAATTCCAGAAAGGCATTATTAGTTTTCTACTGATTGATTTTATATGCGAGCCACTGCTCCCAAACCTGTAAAGTACTGTGTAAAGCTTAAGATTCAGTTTTTTTTAATTTACATTTTTGTCTTTCAGAAAACATCAGACCAAAAACCCCTCCCACAGCCATCAAAAGCCAGTCAAAGCCCAATGAAGTATGAGTCCTGATGAGGCCATGATTTCTGTTTGATTGGTGGCCTGTTACCCTAAATGTATCTTCATAATGATGACAGTGACAACAGGAATGAGTACAAAACGCCAGTTGGCAGGAGTCTTTTGAACTACAAAATGATGTATATGAAAATGAAAAATGGATGCAATCTCTCTGTTTTTTAATTTTAATCTGAATGATGGCAGTCTCATCATTACAGTGCATCAGTCACTGAGAGGTACAGTCATATGCGAGGAATGTGTCTTCAGAGTCAATATAAGGGTTCGAACCACAGCCGGTGTCCCTGGCCACATACCTGGAATGCTAAACGGGTGATGAGAGATGAGCAGCCTACAGTGGAGAGAGAGAGAGGCATTGAGTGATTCTGATGCATGGATATGAAATGTAGTCAGTTATACTGTCGGATGGTATTGTAATTAACTACTGATGTAATTAATCTAGGTTCTCTGCCTTTATTTTGACTTGTACTTGTAGATTTTACGTTGAAGGTCACTTTATTGTCATCGGCAGCTTTATACATGTACAAAGTGTGATGAGACATCATTTCACTATGGCCCCAGTGCAACATATAGTGACAAGGAGTAACACTGAACATCACAAGGGGCAAGGTGCAAACAGGCAGTAAGATAGACAGTGCAGAGATTCAAGAATAGTGAGAAGGTAATGTAAACTTTCGTATGTCTTGGTATTAAGCAATGTGAACCAACATACAGCAGCAGACAACGCAACAGAGTGCAGGAACAGATTCAATACAATACAATAAACAGATGGCACACCAGTTGCAATGAGGGATGTAAACCTTGATGGCTGAGATAGCACATGGTTATTATATTGCACAGGTGAGTTTTATCATTAAATCCACAGTGAGAGAATGGTGAAAGTAAACGATGAACAATAAAGTGCAGTTGCAGTTTGAAGGTAGTTTTAGCATCGAAGCTTTAGTGTTGAAGTGCTTGTTGTGTTTCATTGAACAGCACGATGAAGAAGAAATCTCCACCAGCCCCGGAGTGTCCGAGTTCGTGAGCGATGCCTTCGACTCGTGCAGCATCAATAAGGATGACCTTCGGAAGGAGATGGAGCAGTTGGTGCTGGACAAAAAAGAGGGCGGGGCTCATCCGGAGGGTAACACACCACCTGCCGTATTACACATCCTCTTTTCCTTTATCACCATGGTAACGTGCACCATGTAGAACATTGTTTACACTGTATGAGTACCACGTGAGCTGTGAGGCTTTTAAGCCTAACTTGAACTTAGTGAAATTTACAAATAGGTTATTTGTGTCATACCTGTTTCATTTGTCAGCAATTTTGAATGTATCTGAAATAACTTTGTAAATAAATTAGCTAGAGTAAATTAGCAGATAAACTTACTGTGAAGCTCTCTTTATGTAGAGCAGTGGTTCTCATGCCTAGTTTATTGTCTTTAATCCTCTGAGGGCTGAGATGGAGGCCCAAAGTGTTTCGTTTGGGTTAGTAATCCAGTTGAGTAGCTAAATGACTGGGCTGAGAACTAAGTACCTACCGGTGCAGATTGCTGTGAGAATGTAGATGCCATGGCCTGACCCACCTGGGTATTCTCCACTGACAGAGGAACCAGCTGACTGGGAGAAGGAGCTGCAGCAAGAGCTCCAGGAGTACGAGGTGGTGGCCGACTCGGAGAACCGGGACGAGAACTGGGACAAGGAGATCGAGGAGATGCTGCAGGAGGAGAGTTAGCCTCAGCTGCAGGGGAGAAGCTCGGCCTTGTGGTTCGTAACGGGAGCGATGTGAAGAAGCTGATCTAAAGCCCCCTCACAGCTTGGGACCACCAAAGTAATAAACTCTGTCAGTCATGCATTTAGGAGACAGCAGAACGTTTTCCAGAATCCCGTGTGAGCAGATGTGTTCTATTTCATTGGTGGGCTTTTCATGATGTGTTGGAAGTTAAACATTGTAGTAACATTACAAATGTTTCAACATGAGATGCCTTTCATTCTGAAACTGATTCTGTCACTGTCCACATGGAGTATTTATTTTGTAGGGAACAGTCCAGAAGTGCCAATTTGCAACCTGGCTGTAATATTCTACAGCACTGTTGTTACATTATTTGACCCAATGTTGCAAATTGCTGTGATTTTTTTTTTTTTGGAGTGCTTTCTTATACTGATGGAGAACACACCTTGCACACACCTTGCACACACCTTGCACACACCTTGCACACACCTTGCACACATCTTGCACACACCTTGCACACACCTTGCACACATCTTGCATGTTTTATTTTACTCTTTGATGTGGGAGATGTTTTTGCATATTTTTTGTTCTCATTCCTACTCTGTGTTAAGTTTCCATTCCCAGCACTCCCACAAGACGTACTGAAAGGCACCAGTAGTGACTTGCAGGGCACCTAATCATAGTCACGCCCAATGGTAATAGATCAAGAACATGAATTTCTAAGCAACTTGGATGCGTAACAACCAGCTTTCTCACCAGCAGAATTTGTCTCTTTTTAAAATTCATGTTTCTTATCTGGTGGGAAGTTTTGGTAATTATTTTGATGTTGATTGTTAATTAAATCTGTAAATGAATAGTTCTTGGAAATGGACTTTGACTCTTTTAGAAATATTATTAGTACTTGACAATGTATCCTATAAAAAATTTCTAAGCTTTTGATTTTTCTTATTCATAACGATGGAATATCTTATTTCTGTGCTGCTAAGTAAATATAGCTTGTCCTGTTCTTGTATTAATATTTACTTTAATAAATACTTTGACACGGCGGGGCTGAAATAATTAAATGTTTCATAAATAAATATATCTCGACTAATTCAAATGAACGAAATGAAAAAGGGAACACTTCTTTCCAACTGTTACATGCAGATCACCTTTACGTTGATGTAGTTCTTTTACTTGAACCATCTAAATGAATTATATCAATATTCATTTATACGGCTAGATTGAGCAGACCTACAATAACCGGTATCATCGTTAGCCGATGTCCTTCTTGCTAGTCAATGCATCGCCACTCGTTTTCACGCAAAACATAGATCCTGCACTAAAGGCAACTGGTAAGGTCGGCGCGGTCAGCCCAGCGATCCCATAGCTCCCAGTAATCCCCCCCCCCTCGTGTTTCGTCACAACATGGCGACGCGCTCAGATGCCAGGGTCGATTTAAACAGCGAAAACGTTCAGGTACCGATCGCCGCTATACTGCTGTTGAGTTTTCGGGCCGCAGTGCTGGGCGTTGAGTGCTTAGCGGGGCGGCAGGTCCGGCAGCCGCAGATGTCGCGGAGCGGGGCGAGTCCGAACCGGGAATCGTAGGAAGCGCGTCGAGGAGACGCGTAGTCCGCACGGCAGGTCACGGCGATAGCGACTTGGCCGTGTCCATGCCTTTCTGTAACTTTGCTAGCTGGGCGTTTGTATTTGCGGTTTGTGGTGGAATAAACATATAACGTGTTCCGTTTGTACCAGATTGGCGTTTTAACTCGGAAACTGGGGTTTTGATCGAACTGAATAAAGCCGGAGTATATGGTTGTGGTTTCAGTTTCCGTGGTTGTAATTTCTGTTGTTATATATAGATTTATATGCAGCCGAGGTGGGATAAAGTGTAGGTCATGTTGATGTATCTACGTGTTTCGGATGTGATCTGAGGCCCACATGGTATCAAACGTACGCCATTTCACTTTAGGGCGGCTTGGAAACTGTTCCCTGCCGCAAACTAAGCAGAAGTCTAGTTTAATTAAACGGTTTAATAATGCCGCACTTAAAACGGCGGCCACCGTATCGCACTGTTAGCAAACACGCCTGCATGGCCGTCATTTCCCTGCCCACAACACAGGCAGTCTGTTCCCCTGCGTGTTTTTATGCCCCTATTTCCTTCAGCGGCGTCATCAGGCGCAGTACGGCCAGTGTACTGTAAGTTTGTTGAGGGTCTCCGCGCAGTGCGACATGTCATATTAATGTGCTACTGCTGGAGGCGTTCGAAGTGGCGGCTTTTGCTCGGCTGCGGTGCGCATCGGCTGCTTGCCGTCGTCTCCGGGATCAGCTGCATGGCGGCGGGCGCCCTGTGTGATCGGCGGGCCGTTTGCCAACACGTGGTCCGACAGCGGGGCCCCCAGCCGCGCCGAAACCGTCCTCTACTCCTCTCAGGTCTTTAGTTCCACAGCCGAAATGACTTTTAAGTAAACAAGTGGATATTTTGGTTGTCACCAGCTGTCTTGACCTCGATTAAAAATATTTTTAAGTTATACGGAGGTCAGGTGGAGTTATGACGTAAGAGTTCTTAAGGGACTGTTTCACAAAAAATGAGTGTGAAACTTAGCTTTTTTTGTGTGCCCCCTGCCAGTTTGGAAGCCGAATAATGGAGTCGACGGGAATGTGCGTGATGGAGGTGGCATCCCGGGGTCTGGTCCGACCTGGAGAGCCTCTCGCTCTGCCCGATCTGGAGAGCCCCTCTGCGGAGGAGCTGGACATGCCCTGCTATCAGGAGATATCTAGGGGGGAGACCCCAGGGCGTGAAGACTGCCGGATAGACCCCCCAGATGGCGAAGTGGCCCCCGACAGCAACAAAAGCAAAGACAAGAAGGGGCTGGGTAAGTGTCAGGGTGGGCCGGAAGTCCCCATCCTGTACAGAATGTCTGAAATTACCTTTCTTCACTCATGCTCCCCTTGCTTACAGGGAAAGAGGTTCTGCTACTGATGCAAGCTCTAAATACTCTCTCTACCCCTGAGGAGAAGCTAGCGGCTTTGTGTAAGAAGTATGCTGATCTGGTGAGTGGAGCCCTCATTGGCTGGTGCTGGGTGATTAGCTCAGGATGTGAGACACCCTCACGCAGACATGCTACTTAAAACCTCCTGTGTGTCATTCTTTCTGGTTTATTGGGTGCTGGACTCCCTGATGATGTCGGACGTGTGATCATAACTCATAACAGGGCACGCTAGGCTCCGAGCAGAAATACACGTGATCTGTCAGTGCAAATGTCCGTATAGCATTTCAGCCGTGAGTTTACCTTTGCTCCTCACACTTGCCCTTGTGATGTTCTGGTACCTACACAGCTGTCGTTGCATGACAGCTATTTTCAGATCCCTTGATTGTTTGTTTCTGGCATGCAGGTGCTGGATTATAGAGATTATAGAGGCCGGGTTGGGGGGGGGGGATCTGAAGGTGATGCTAAGACCCCCTTCAGTCTTCAGTCATTTTTATTCCTCCGTCAGCCATATTTAAATATAACACACAGGCTGACTGTGATACGCTGTTACGTGACCCATTGTTCTGCTGTCTGAGATGCAAGAGAAATTTTCAATGTGTTTACTCTAAAACNGTAGGCTGGTTTGATTGGTTGAAACATGCACCGGCGACGGCATAGCTAAAAGCAGGAGACGTGTGTGTGTGTGTGTGTGTGTGTGTGTGCTTTTGCATTTGACTGATGTCCATCTCTGGCAGCTAGAGGAGCGGCGCAGCATGCAGAAGCAGATGAAGGGTCTGCAGAGGAAGCAGTCGCAGGTCATGAAGGAGAAGATCCACCTACAAGGGGAGAACAGTAAGGCCATCCTGGCCCGCAGTAAGCTGGAGAGTCTCTGCCGGGAGCTGCAGCGCCACAACAAGACCCTGAAGGTAGCGGGGCGCTACGCAGGCTAGCCTGCTCCCCCCCCCCTGTTGGTCACGCTACGTGTCCCGCATTCGGTGCCGTGCCGCCGTGCCCCCCATCCACGCTCGCCTTCCATCCCATGCAGGAGGACAACACCCAGAGGTTGCGGGAGTATGAGGAGCGCAGAAGGGAGGTGACACTGCACTTCCAGATGACACTCAACGAGATCGAGGCGCAGATGGAGCAGCACAACGTGCACAACGGCAAACTGCGGCAGGAGAACGTGGAGCTGGCCGACAAGCTCAGGAAGCTGATAGAGCAGTACGAGCTGAGGGAGGAGGTGAGAGCTGACGCCGGCAACCTGTGGGCTAATAATCACTCACGTGTCAGGACTAGCTGCTTGGCCGCATTGTGCTTCTGCCCTGCATTATTCTTGAGTAGTAATTACTCATCTTTACTTGTGGTCTACTACTGTATTAGTTCAGTGTTACTTTTGTGCAGGAGTAGTATCTATAGGCTTTTCAGTGTTCACAGAGGAGATTCTAGGGGTGAATCTCTATGCGTACTTGACCGTACTTGTGGTGTCATGTATCCATTGCACAAGACCAGTTCAAATTTTAAAAACGTACAAAGGATTCTGCTGTAGCTCCGCCCCAAATATCAAGGATCCTCGCCAAACAAGACCAGTCCCATGATTCATTGTGCCCCATGCTTGTGCTTGGGAGGCAAGTTAACAAGACCAGCCATGGTAAGACCACAAGTACGGTCTTTGCGTTCTTGGTATTAAGATTCACTCTAGAATATTTTTAATGTGGGCAGGCATAATTTGCACTGTGGGGCCAACGTTACCATTAGCTAATGATATGTTTTGTCTCGGTGAGTGACAGGGAAGGGTACACCCAGGAGCCAATCAGCTTTCAGATGGCGCCCATGTGACCCCAGCTTTTCCTCTCTCCCCCCAGCACATCGATAAGGTGTTCAGGCACAAGGAGCTGCAGCAGCAGTTGGCAGATGCCAAGCTGCAGAGGACCACCGAGCTGATGAGGGAGACCGAGGAGAAGCACCAGAGGGAGCGGGAGTTTGTAAGTGGCCTGGGCCGCCCCGGTGCAGCCGCTCTGTTAGCCACAAAGGAGAGCGGCCTCAAGGGATGTAAGGCTCTTCTGGCAGCAGGTGGCGTGGTGGTTAAGTTTGTCAATTCAGGTCCTAGGGGTGACCTACTGTAGACATCAACATGAATCGTGAGGAACTTCGGTAAAGACTCTGTGTATGTTGACCTAGACTTCTGTGTCCTGCTCAGCTACTGAAGGAGGCGATGGAGTCGAGGCACAAATGTGAACTTATGAAGGAGCAGGAGTCCCAACTGAAACAGCAGGTAAGCAAACGCCAGAGCGCCACCTCCTGCCCGTTACGATGTCTGTCCTTTGTACGTGCCTGTCGGGTGTTTCCTGTTTAAACCCAGCCGGTATGCTTCTGCCCACACTGAAGCCGCTCTTGTGGATAATGAGGGCTTGTCTTCCAGCTCTCCCTATATATGGACAAGTTTGAGGAGTTTCAGACCACGCTTGCTAAGAGCAATGAGGTTTTCACTACCTTCAGGCAGGAAATGCAGAAGGTGGGTCAGCCGGGGGGGGGGGTATATGGATGAAGGAGAGGGAGGGTTAGGGTCAGCTTGGCCGTTTCCTTGATTGTCATTTCGACCGTCAGATGACCAAGAAGATAAAGAAGCTGGAGAAGGAGACGACTCTGTGGCGTAACAAATGGGAGACCAATAACCAGGCCCTCCTCCAGATGGCCGAAGAGGTGAGTGCGGGGGGGGGCTGCTTGCTTTAATTTTCCAGTAGATGTAGTAGTTAATGGCTCCCAGTATGCTGTGTGCAGAAATTTGATCCTTGTCCATCAGTAACTGACATATGGTAGCTTTTTTTGTTGGGGGGAGGGGGGTGTTGTTATGACACCAATTAAAAAATCGGCTGTCATGCAGTGTGTAACAGCAAACTTTATTGGCAGCACTGGCTGGGGATGTCTCACTCAGTGAGAGTTAAGGACACGTCATCCATTACCACTAATGTGCTGGACTTTCCTAACAAAAGGGCTGCGCTCATTCATTGGTGGGGGGGGGGTCCCTGTCGCGCAGAAAACGGTGCGGGACAAGCGCTACTCCGCCCTCCAGGGGAAGCTGGAGCGCCTGGAGAAGCTGTGCAGGGCCTTGCAGCAGGAGCGCAACGACCTCAGCCAGAAACTGGAGAGGCTGCGCTGTCCCCTGGGCGAGGTCGCCGAGCCCCCAGACACCCAGCCGGATGGGCGGCCCCCAGAAGTGGAGGAGGCGGTCTCTCTCGCAGAGGCCCCGCCCCCCTGAACAGGAAGTGGACCCTACCCTGGCCCCTGCAGAGCCTCTTGCCAACTGAGCCAGACCCATAGGCATTTGTGGAGGTATATATATGTGTATATATACATACATAAATAAAAAATTTATTTTTGTGTAATAGTTATAATGTAAGAAGTATAATTGCGTTAGTAAACAATGCTTTGCTCTGTACATGGTAATTATTGGGTTTGTGGTGAACATTTCCTACTTTTTCCTACTACATCTGTATTTTCGTAAATGTACTGTGAGGCCACAGATCGTCAGTTGATTCCTTTTGTATTAGGTTTTTTTTATGCATATCTGCCTCATTTTAATATTCTTGCCAACTGACAATTCCGGCTCTATCTAACATGAGAGGCGCCCATGTTTGAGGTGCTGTATTTATTTACTTGCTTCCTCACTCAACTAAGTTGATGATTTGATTAAATTTCATAGCATAGTTTTGGATGCATCATGATGAATCTCTTTAGTATGACTAAAGTTGGATTTTTTTTTTTTTGTTTTGTGACGGCTTAAGTTGGTATAAGAGCTGGCTTATTTCCGATCTGTGAATGTGTAGTACTGTGCTTACCTGCAGTTTGGCAGCCTGGCGTTGGTACCATCTGTCCCCTTCTGGATTCTGCTGTAGCATTAACGGTACTCTTAGGAATGTCAGGATATCGGTGTCGTTTGAGGGTTTCCCGTAATCGGGACTGGTACCCACCCTTGGATCCACCTTTCTGGATTTCCCAGGCTTCACGTTGATGCCGAATGTGATTTCCGTGTCACTGGGGCGCGCTGCAGTGAGTGGGGAAGCCACTTGGGGGCGTCAGTGGCATCTGCTCGGAGATGGATGTGGGTGTTCTGCTCGGTGAGAGCAGGCTGGTGTGACACTGCCTTTTTTGGGATCGCTATACGCAGGAGCGGCTGCCCAGAGCTCCCCCTCTGAACTATGACTGGAAATACAGGGTTTATCTTCACTAACCTTCTCAGGTTTTCCTCACCTCCTACCATGAGCCAAGAATGACTTCACTGAATGATTTAACTCCCCTCTGCCACTGTCTCCATCAGCGGCTTTCATATTAATGTAATCATTGTTTAATGTTAAACCTGAACTCTTTGAGATTGGTACCCTGGAATGGTTCATACCCTCTCATTGGACAGTTATTCATGAATTGAATTGAGTTGTTTTACAGCCCCTGTGGTATTAAGGTCATTACTGCCAGCGTCAGTTGTGTGTCTGTGCATCTGTGTCAGTGCTTCATGCTTTAATTTCTCCTAGTACTTCCAGTTAACTGAGCTGTTAAGTTATTTACGACGGAATCCTCCGTTTCAGGATGATTCTGTGAAGGTCACAACTGACCCCGCAGAAGTTTGCTTTTACAGTCCTGTGAGGCGCTTTCCATGCCGTTAATGACACTGGCCGTTTTGTACCGGCCCTGTGTTGCTGTGTCGTGGGTTTGAGGGCTGAAGGTTTGATGTTAAGTTTTCCTGTGCCAGTATAAAGGGACCCTTGCCACCCCATTTTCTACCATAAATGGGCATTAAACTTTTTTCATCTGCATTCCGGCTGTGGCAGGAATGTATGTCAGACTAGGGAGAAAATCACTTGTGTGTCAGACATTTGAATGTGCTCTGCATGTGGCGATCAATTGTATGTTGTTTCAGTAAGGAAGGAACATAGGGACTTCAGAAACGCTTCCATTTTTTATTGTGATGATACATACCAGCATTAGTTGTACTTGATGTTCAGTTTTTTCAAACTCTGGAATCTCGTCAGACGTGGCTGATGGTGAAATGCAAAAAAAAAAAAGAAAGTGTTTTGTAAACATTGTTGATCTTCGTTCCCGTTGCCAATACAGCCCTCTACTGCTGACTGCTGGCTTCTCTGCTTTTTTTTCCGTTGACGTCGTTTAATCGACGCTCTTGGTTCAATTTCACAGCTAGATTTTCACGTGAGCATCGAGGCGTTTGAACCAGCCTGCTAAGTTTGCTAGCCATGGTGCCTCAGGGCAGGAAGGTCTCATTTCCCCCATTGTAGCTTCAGCGTGCTGTGGAAAAAATGTTTAGGTGTCAGCATGTCGCGCTGTTTGCCGGACCTCCTGAACGTAGATGGCGTGACACCAGGGGCTTCTAAAGAGCAGCTGATGTTTGAAGGACCCAACAATGTGAATGTAATTGACAGTATGGGGCCTTAGGTAACTCCTAGCCACTCTTCTGTACCTCACCTAGCGATGCTAGCCTCTTCTGTACCTCACCTAGCGATGCTAGCCTCCCGGCGTGTAGAACTCAAGGCTAGTTTTGCGTATTTCTGGATGCTGTAAGTACAATTTCACGCCACGTTCCACTCTGAAGGCATCGATCTATGAAAAGGATGCATTAAGCAGTGAAAGCACTGATGCCACCAGTGTGCCAGATGGCATCTCGCTCCTTGGTTTGGCAATGCCACCGTTTTGATTCTCAGGTTCAGCTAGAAATCTACCTCTGAGGGACTGTACACGAAACTGAACAGCAGGTGTCACCGTTGCATTGTCCCCCCCCCACCCCCGTCCCCTTTATCAAACATGAGCCAACGTTCCCCCTTTGAGAGATTGTAAAATGTTCCGATTGTTTAGTCTCGCTTTTCAATAAAACTTTTTTTAGACTTTTCCACATGTTGTCTTGTGTTTGTTTTTTGTGTTTTTTTTTTGGGAGCTAATGTCTTCTCTCTCTCAGTTCTAGGTGAAATTGGGGTGTTAAACTGTACCAGGTAGTTAACTAAGGTTAATCTATACAAGATGTGTGATTTTTTTTTCTTCAAGAGACTACATTGCATTTTATAAAACAGCTAGGAGACGCAAAGACTAATGTAACTGCTGAGGAATATAGAAATGAACAGAGGACTAACCTGTTTAAAAATGGAGAACAAGTTAAGAGCAAGGGAATGGAGTACAGATAACACTGCAAGGAGGACAAAATATCTTCATGTTGGGGTTTAGTGACACAAACTAAGCCCTCAGGGAGCTTTTGTCAGCTCCGAGAACGACCATGGCCTCTTTGCCTAAACATCAGTGGACTGGACGCCCGACTGAAAGGCTGGGGAAGCCGCAGTCCCGGTGTCTGAATGTGCCGTCATAAGGCGGGTTCCTCTGGTTCCTCTTCTTTGCTTGATGTTTTCCACCCGAAGAGGCATGAACAAGATGTTTCTGTAAAATGACAGCCGGCCACCTGCTCTGACCAGCCAGCAGATGATGCCGTCCTCCATCATGGAGACGGCAACCCAGAGCAAGTCAGATCTCTGCCATCACGATAATCCAGACATTAGTTTAGATACCAGATGAATCAGTATTTCACTGAACCCCTTTTCATTGGCTTTGTGCCTGTAGCTTCTGGGATAGACTCCTGCTACCCTGCATTGTGGGTATAAAACATGGGTGTATTTACAAGACAATCAGACCCCACACACAGCATTCAGGACCTCAGGCTAAGAGCTTGCACACCTTGATGCCCGATGTCCCCATTCAGTTGCAGTCACAAGCAGCCCTTCTGCTATCTCCACTGACTGCTCCTTTCTGTTATTACCAGGGAGGCAGAATAGCCAATCCCTATCAGGCTGCTCTGCCAATCCCACTGGGCTGTTTCAACCCCCCTGCACAATCTTATGACAAGATTAATGATGATTAGAATTTGATCGTACATAATCAGGCTGGGTACGACAGATGTAGTTCAAATCTAGATGTCGATGGCACTCGAAGACCAAGTAATCTGTTTATTAGGGGACTTATGAACCTGCGGGGGGCAGCAGCGAGTCTCTGTCAGTGCAGCACAAAACTTTCAACTGCAATGTCCCAATTCTGGGTCTGTTCCCTGCTGTTGCCATGGCAGCAAAAGCTAAATGATAAACAAGCTTGTTTTTCTGCTGCGGTATGTAGGTTCAAAGTGCAACTGCTTCAGCTCACATCCACCTGCATAAACAAGGTTAAGGTGAATGAAAGTTCTTGAAGAACTGGAAAATTTCATCCTCGTCTGATTCGAAGGAGCGCAACTTCATGACCCTTTAGGAAAAGAGGAGGGGGTATTGGGGTATTATTTCAGGTCTATTTACCAACATAATTGATAGAACATTCACTGATTTATGAGACAAATTGAAATCCACTGATTTTTCTGGATAATGCGTTACGAAGAATGGCATATTGCTGAGGCAGCTGGTACCTTGTCCACAGACCTGTTAGCCAAAACAACTCACTTTAGAGGTTGAAGGACAGACAGCTGATACTGCCAGAGCACGTGTCCACAGACCGGCTGGGCTTGGACGTGTTGTTTGACCTTGAGTCCCAGCTATGGAGAGCAGCAGAAACATCCTCATCATAACGCAGCTCAGTTGGGTCATTGCTTAGATGTCTGCTCATCCTGTAACAAGACACGTGAGACAACCATCAAATGGTGATTAGACCAGAAGACCATGCTCCCTTTCAGCACATCCAATCAGATTTGTGCGACAGGCATTGATTGGCAGAACCTGCAGAGTTAATGTAAACAAATACTTGATATAGGGTCACGGGCTGGCATGGGAACAATTGGGTCACAAGAAAGGTTGAGAACCGCTGGACTACAGTCTTTAAAGCGACTGAAACAGTGAGATAAAAAAATAGGCTTTTAAATTTGACTTAAAAATGCTGATTGTAGGGGATAATTTTATGGAAGAAGACAGACTGTTCCTAAGTCTTGGAGCAGCTACCGAAAAGGCCCAGTCACCTTTGAACTTCAATCAAGAATGAGAAACAGCTAAAAACATCTGGTGAGAAGATCATAGGGCTTGAGCAGCAGAATGGAGACTGATCAGGTCAGATATATTGCTGGATCGAGCCACGCCATGAAGAGCTTTAAAAACAATAAAACCTTCAATTCAACTCTGTGTTTAACCGGCAGCCAGTGCAAGGATGCAAGCACGGAGTAATGCTCTATTCGGGAGTAATACTCTATACCCGAGTAATGCTTTTTACTGGAGTAATGCTCCGTACGGGAGTAATGCTCACTCTTTTCTTGGTATCTGTTATAGGTCATCTGCAGACGTGACGCGCCTGACTGACATATTCCGAAGCAGAGTTACAGCAGTCAATACGAAATTAGATAAAAGCGTGAATGACTGTTTCCAAATCCTTAAGAAACTAAACATGTTTGAGCATCGCTATATTATTGAGTTGAAAGAAACTACCACGAACTACTGTTTATTTGTTTATCAAATTTAAGAGTAGAATCGAAGATACTGTAATACCAAGTCACTTGCTAGAACTCTGACAGCACCAGGAGACCCAAGGATAATATCAGTTTTGTCATGGTTTCACTTAAGAAAACGTTTTGATATCCAGCACTGCACATCCCTTAGACGGTTAGAAATGAGCTGAAGGGTGTCTTTTTCACCTAGATTGAATGGAAGGTATAACAGTGTGTCGTCTAGTCTGCATGACAGTTATACGATATATTATACTTTTGAAAGATGAACCCAAGGGGGAGCATCAGGGGCGGATTAAGGTGCACAGAGGCCCCTAGGCTACAGTAGTCTGTGGGCCCCCCAACCCCGCCCCCCTCCGCGCCAATGGGGCCCCCCTTGCAGGCTGGCACACGTGGGGCCCCTAGGCTTAAGCCATATCTAGCCTGTGCGTTAATCCGCCCCTGGGGAGCATATACAGAGATTCAGAAATTTTGAAAATAAAACCACTGCATTAAAGCATCCTTGCGCGGCCGGACCAGCGCGTGTTTAGGCAGCACTGGCTGCACAAGCCGCCCCGCCGACATGCACAACATCGCGATGTCGGGTGGCGTTGATTAAATCATTTGGGACAGGAGAAAAGTATAGCGATAAAAAGGTAAAAACGTGTTTACTGTCACCTTCTTTGTTCTATGCCTTCGGCACAAACCTTTCAGCGGCATAGTATCCACGCGATCCTCTGAATGTTTATTACTTATTTATAATTAATAGTAACACCTCCAGTTTGGGGTGGCGTTAGGGGACTGCTGCTCCAGACAGCGCATGCGCACTCGATTCCCCTGAAAATTCGGAATGCGCAACGCGTCCACTACTCGTGTTTTTTTCCCCCAGTTAAATTTAATGGTAAGATATATTATTACCGCGACGGGGGCTGAGTCCCCCCACACTTTTCAGCGAGTTCTGGGTATTGTAGCGTGATAGAACCAGGCACCTGCGGCTCACGCCGCGCCGAAGAGAAAATAACGCAGAGTGGACCTTGCCAAGAAATGGCTGCTAGATGAAGCAGATTTTGTTATAAAACATACGTTATGCGATGATAAAATATGCCATATATTTACTATTTTGACTTATTGTAACATACCTATGATTTCTTGACAGTCGAGACTTGAAGAAGCTTCGGGATTTGTACATTTTAGCAATGGCGCTTTTGTTTTTATGGTGTGTCAGGTATAATAGCTTATCAGAAGGCACTGTACAGTAATTAGTTTGCATGACAAGTCCAAGGACAGGCATTTCTACCAAATAGACAATTGCTATTTACTTATATTAGGATTTACATTAATTTTTAGTCATCCACACAGTTCATTCCGACAGCCTTTCATTTTGATACGTATTGAGCGTAAGGGCTTCCTGTGATGCCGGCGTTTCATGCAGGGGGCACGTACCCCAGCCCCGTACCCTACACTGCTGGTACAGGCTCCCGGTCTCCCACAGTCCTGACAAGTTATGTGGTTCGAAGATGCATAAATGGCTTCGTGGTCGGGATGTGCGGAGCGACACCAAAATTCTTTCAAGCTGATTTTTTTTTGTTTTCATTTTGATACTCTATTCAAACGAGGAAATTCGACACACTAGTGATTTAAACGTTAATATTATTATAGGGAGCAGGACATGAACTACTACCGGACACGGCTGCCCATAAGGGGAAGGGGAGGGCCCCCCCAAACACTAGCGGAAAGGTACGATCGAACCCCCCCAAGCTAAAAATGTTTTCGTCAGCATCTCCCACCCAGCTCCCCAGCACATGGCTGAGCTGGCAATACCAATCGCTATGACGATACCAACGTCGTTTGCAATCGGAAACAGGAGATAAGAGCAAACTGCAAAACTCATTCAGTCTATTTTTGCTGTTTTTGAGATGAGACCAACAGTGGCCAAAAGTCAGGGTTCCCCATCGTCATATGTTACACTGTTGTGTAATAGAAGATTATAAGTAATCAGATTGCGGTTAGTTTTTTTAAGGATCACTGTTTTTAAGGATCTGAGGGATTTCCTTAGTTAATTTGTAGCTATTTAACTATTTTCATTTAGTTCATTTATAGCCTTTATATATCTTTACATTTATCATATTGACTTTTATATTTCTTTCTGTCCTCCTTACTTGCTTCCTCACATCTTGTTCTTTGCCTCTCATACAGTACAACTCACTCTCACAAGGGCCATGTGACCGGCTTGGCTGCAGGAGTCTGTACGAAGACCATAGATAAAGGGCCTGCGTCCCTCGGGAGGGGGGGCAGACAGACCCTGAACCAGCCGTGTATGAACATCTTTCAGTAACATCTTCATTATGTCTTAATAAGCTGCTTAAGTTTAAGGAATCTGCTGCATCATTCAACTCTAGAAGAACCTGAGGTTTCAATGAAGAAATCTACCGGATTATATTTCTAGTTGGGGCTATACGAGCATGAATATATCTTTTAATTCAGTGTCCCTGCATGACCGCTAACCTAACCATCTTGATGGAACAGAAGAGGGAGAGGTGTACAACACACACTGTCTTCAGGTTAATACATTTAATTTATAATGCACTTTATATTTGAAAGCAAATCTCAAAGTGCTACAAAATTAATTCGACCCGAAAAGCTCTGTTAAAAAGATAAGTTTTAAGACCAGATTTAAAAGCATCAACAGTCTGTGGCGTCCTCAGATACTCAGGAAGAGCATTCCACAGTCTAGGTGCAGCTGCGCAAAAGGCTCGATCTCCCATGCTCTGAAGTTTAGTCTTAGGGGTTTTCAAAAGATGTAATGATACAGAACGGAGGTTTCGTGAGGACGAATGTTGGGCGACAAGTTCTTTGAGGTAGGGAGGGGCGTCCCCATAAATACACTGGTGGGTAAGAAGGGCAACCTTGTAATCAATTCTAAATGATTACACACTAGGGGTGCTCGGGGTGCTTCCCCGAGTGGCAAACAAGATGGAGGTGTCCGCGTTTCACTTCTGGGTGCACAGATTTCATTCATGCTCAAAGCAGCCCAAAGGAAAAACATAATGGTGCAATGCAACCTTTGTCTTCTGGAAGCCAAAGTGTATTCAAAAGTGATAGATATATGGCAGGCAGTTTTAATTTCTGATATCAAGAATTCAGTTTTAGCTGGTTTACAATGGGCAAAAGTGCCCATTGTTGATATCAAATATAATTTTAACTAGTTGAAAATCCAATTTCTTACATCAGGAATCCCCCCCCCCCCCCCACTTTGCAAATAGTATTGTCGGGGATCTTGGGGGTGAAGGAATGGGTGTCATCATGTACTTCTTTGGTTTGAAAGTGGAAACCTTAACTCGTGTGACTATAAGCAATGGCATTGCTGGGTGCCAATACTTTGGGTGGCCAGATAAGTCTGTGGTGGTTCCAGTTTTAGTTGGCACAAGTTCTTACTGGAGTTTACAGCACACAGAGTTGCGTGTTGGACTTTAAATTGCCAAAGCACTGTCACACCACCAAAGTCAACTTTTTGTTTTACTTTATCCACAATATCTCCTTTTTTGAAGGACGTTGCAGCTGCTGAGCTGAGCGCTAATCTCTTCCGTGACTCACATGTACTATAGCACTATGCGGCCTGCTCTGCTATCTCAACCAAACTTGCTGTGTATTTGTTGGGCATACGGTGTCCGTTTTTAAAAGATCACCACATGACTGGTTGGAATTATGTTCGTTTTTATGATGTGTGCTCTCAAGCAATGTTCCATAGACAGTTTGTCGAAGTGTCTCATTTTCTTATCATTTAAATTTCATGACAATAATCTATCGTTTATATTGTCCTACCCTATAGTGAGACCAATAACGCCAATTAAGTGAAGTCATTGTATAGAAGTAATCCCACTGTAATCAGATTAGATTATACATTTTGAGTAATGCAAAGGATTGCGTTACTGATTATATTGTTAGTCATGTAATTTGGAATCTGTACCTGGTTTTCTAAAAAAATGTCCCTGGTGCTATCTCAAACGGATTTCTATAGACCGAGTTTTAGAGATTTACTCTTCATTTGGGATTAATCAGCTTCATATATGATGTAATGTTGTCAATCCTTGTCACTTTCTCAGAATTAATTTTTAAAAGATGTGTGAAAATGTCTGGATTCCTAGATTTGTACTTGGATTCTTAACAAGCACAACCTGCATTGGAAAATTCTAATTTTTCTTGTTTTCATATCCAGTGACCAAGCAGAAAAGGTGAGCGACTTGTATGTAGTATGTATGGAGATTGGGGCGGCTCCATCTTTGAAGATGGAAGTTGCTCTGACAGGCGTGAAAATGGGATAAACTGTGTGCTACAGGGCCTCTCGCTGAGCCTTGCTGGGCGTCTGGCAGCTCTGTGGTTTTTACTGGCCTGGCTCGCTGCCATGCCTGGTGATTTGCTGTCGGTCTCTTCAGTTCAGATCGCAGCTCATCAGGCAACTGTTCTAACCTTGTAGCCCCTGGCTTGATGAATGCTGCTCTTCTACGGCCTTTGGAAGGGCTGTTTAAATCCAGGTGTGACTTGTGTTAATATTGTGCAAAATCTGAAAATATATTCTAATTCTGTTGGGATCAACAGCATAATTGAGCCAGATGAGCTACTTGGGGATTGAAAGGCTGAGGATAACAATAACCCAACCTTTGGCCATATCACAGCTTAAATTGGACCGCTTTTCCCCGTCTCATTTGCATCCCAATTCTTGCCTGAATTCTTCCTAAATGTCATGTACATAGAGACACCTTACTGATTATTTAAAGGAGGGAGAGGGGCACTGGAGTTCATGAGTGACATGGCACTACACTTTTGACAGAGTGTAAACAAATTTTATTTCCATTGTAACACCAAACACTGCAGCATTGTTTCACTGAGATGACATACAACACCTTCCCACAGTAAGACATGTGTTCATGGTAGAGCTACTATGGAGAGCATCTGTAAGATACGGTGAATGAAAGTGGGCCAGCTAACAGGAGACGTAACTAAAGAAAACCCTTCTGTGATATAAAGGAAATAGAAGCAAAGCTTAAGTTGAAATCCAGGACCATATTAACTGCATATTCTAACCGCTGTTACATCTTGTGAACGAACAGTGCTGAACTTCAATAATACACAGTGATTTGTATACAGGACATACCAGGCAATGAATTCAAATACTGCTTTGTGCTTTCAACCCTTCCCGTCAGCATAGATGATATTCTGAACTGAGCCGTGTAATTGCTTAGGGCAATAGTAAGACGGAAAAAAAAATAAAATAAAATCTTTGGTTTAAACAAATACCTTTTCACGTAGATTTCTTTTGTAAATCACACAATGCACAGTTCTGTCCGAAATGCAACTTTGCTCTCATAATACTAAGTGTTTCTTTGGTTGCAAACACTAAGAGGATGTTCTTGAGAATGACTTTGCTCTCCTACATTACTGATATAGGTGTTTATCTTTGCTGTCATCCTCAAAATCTGCCTGTATAAGGAAGGGCTCAGTCCTGTATTTCTTCTCTCCAGTCAGAACAACCTTGAATCTATTTCCTTTATTTTTGAAAGGGAAACAGTGTTTTTAGCTGTAACATACATACATATCATATGTGTGTATAGATACAGACACATATACATATAAAAGAACCTCACTGTTTTGAATTATATTAAAGTGTAATCGTGGCCTTTTATGAAGACATGTAACACAATGACGAATACTGTAGAAGTATCTTAAGGCAGTAGGAGAATTTCTGTAAGAAAAGACGGATGATTGTAAACTAACAATCCCTTTTCGATATCGAGTGTGTACAGTGCTTCGCCGGGTACATCAAGCACAGATTAACCAGGTTTAAAAATAAACAAAAGGCATGTGAGACAGAAGGGGACGTGCCTCAACACTGAAATGCACATGGACACACTTAGCGCTACATCGTTTAGCACAACGAAGAAAGAGCTGGCAGAGGGGCACCGTGGGTGCTGCCGCCGGGGGATGGGCCGGGTTTATGTCAGTCCGATCTCCTCCAGAACGCTGCGGGGGGTCTCTGCTTCCTGTACGGGGGACGGAAGGTAACAGTGGCCTGGGTGACAGAACCAAGGTGGTGGGGACTTGGACAATGATCGTGTGAGAGATGCGGTAATACATGAAGACACACATGCAGAAGGGGAAGGAGATCAAAGTTTGCTGGTGGTGGGGGGGGGGGGGCGACCTGATGTCATGGTAAGAAGCAGGGGATGCAGTGGATTTAGCTTGGGGCTTGTCGGTGTAGTTGTTGGATTTGCAAAGGCAAACGTCAGGATATAAGCTTTTGGACTGGAGAGGCAGGATGGCTCATGGGAGTTTTACTTACACAAAAATGGTTCAGAGAGATAACCAATCAGATTGTAGAGCAGGTGAGTCCAAGCAACTAGAGGAGGCACGAGCAATCAATCAGAGGTCCTTTACTTGCTTAGACCCACCTCCTCTGCTATCTGATTAGATATTTCTCTGAACTCATTCTCTCTCATTTTTTATTCTGTCCTCAGAACATTTTTGCTTGAGTACAACTCCCACGAGTGGGCAGGAGGGCACAGTGGGATAGAGGTTTGAATCGATTCCCTGCTCTGTGCAGAATTGCATGTTCTCCTTTGGTCATGTGCATTATCGCTCTCAGTCCAAAGATTTTAAGTGAACTGGCAACTCAAAATTGCTTGTGTGTGTCTATCCTTCAATTTAACCACACTCTGTGTGGGTGAACCCCTGCTCTGTGCATTATCCTGCCTGGGACAGACCCCAGGTCCCCCCCCACGACCCTTTCCAGTATCAATGATTGGAAGATGGGTGGGTGGATTGATGAATTAAAGAGACAGCACACCCTCCCCAAGGAATTTCACAATAAATCATCTGTTTACTGCAGGACTATTCAAATCATGGTCCTCAAGGTCCGAGCCCTGCTGATGTTCTAGCCATCCTTTACCTGTCAGTCAGGTATGAAGCCTCTGACCAATCAGAATCAGTAATTGTTACACTAACTACCAGGAAGAACTGAAAACAAGGCCTGGATTTGGGAATCGAGGTCCAGATTTGAAGAGCCCTGGTTTACTGGAACGAATGCCGGTCAACCAATTAGACAGCATAGCACCCCAGCAAAATCAGCTTACTGATGGAGACTAAGTGAAACTGGGCAGTGAGGGTTGTTAGGCGGGTAGCAGTGAAGCTGCCACTGGCATTAACTGGAGCTCTAACTCAAAATGCAGCCTATAAGGATCATGCCACACATAAGCATGATCACTGCATGTCAGAACGAGCGCTTCAGCTGTCCTCCTGTTACATGGGGGGGGGGGGGGGGACAGGTGCCTCATTTGCTGTCTCTTTAACAGCAGGATGGGACAGACGACCAGTAACACTTACTTTGGCGTCCTAACAAAGGTTCGGCACAAAACAGAGAGAAGAACAGAGTGAGAGAGGAGCCCAGCATTTGGTCATTGCGCAAGGGTCTTGGCTCCCAATTACACCACATTCCATTTTGCTTCAAAGCACTTGATAAGCTTTCCAAGACAGAGTTCAGGCTGGTATCCATACATTATTAATGTGCTGCCCCCCCCCTGCACAGACTCCTGCTATACGGCAGACTGAGAACTGGCACGCTTCCCTGAAGCATTCTCACAGGCGCTCCGATTGCGACAGGAATGCGGCCTCAGAACTCTGACCCTGCTGCCCGGGGGGGGGTGAATTTCATTTCTTCATTTATTAAAGCCTAGCATTTGAATCCAGTCTGTTAATAGTCCGCAGCTGCAAAATCCCAGAGCTAATCTTACCAACTCAATCTCTGCCTTTATAATTCCAGGATTTAAGTATTCTAGAATTATAAAGTTATTTAACAGCCAGTCTTCCACTATGGATAATTAAAATGGAATTAGATTTAATTAATCAGTTCCTCATATGCCTCATACTACTCCATCCAGGGGTGGAATCACAAAATAATCATGGAAAATGAAAGTTTTCTGTATAAACAGCTGTCGGCATCACGGTCATCATCATCATCATCAGTGCATCCCGTTTAAAAGGTGAAAAGTGGACAATGTGTTGATGAATCCATGTGATTCATATTCATCAGAACAGAGGCATGAGACTGTAGTTATGAGGCATGGGATATAAACACAGTTGGACAGTAAAACACATCAGCGATTGCGGGGCATTTATATTTTCTGCACACAATGACAGCTCATCACGGCGCTATTAGCATGAAGGAATAATTCACTTCCCGTCAGAGACAAAGACCACAAAACATCCCCCTTTTTTCTTTCATTATATTTAATTACATAAATCAATGTAACACTATAAAATAACTGCGGTTATACGCAAAATACTGTACAGGAGAGTGCTATCTGGGATTAGACATTTAATGACTCTTCTCCTTGCTCCTACTCTGCAATACGTTTGAGCCTCAGACCTCGGCGTTTGTCAGAATGCTCATCACTGATTCCATTATTACTTTAGGTAACTTTCCGCTGCCTCGCATTACTTCCGCTCAGCCGCAGCCACGAGGCTGGATGGAGATACAAATGACAATTCAATCACGTCTTCTAAAGGTGGGTGCTGGGCTGCAGTACCGCAGGTTAAATGCGGGCCCTGAAAGGGACCGTTTCCACACATGCTGGGCCTGAGGCTGGTGGGTCGCAGTTCCAGCTCAACGGCCTCATCATCTGCCGTCACGACAACCGGGGGGCAGACGGCACATTTTCATGTTAGTGTGACTGTGAGGAAAGTGTAGATGCGCCATTGCAGTGTCACAACAGACCGTATTTGCCAATGTATTAGCGATACGATAGAGTGGCTTTAAAGTAGCTTAAGGTTCTCCGAATTACCTGCAGGCAGACGGTCCAGCAGCAAGCAGCTTTCTAGGAGCATTTATCCTTGTTTTGTACGCGAAGCGATTAATCTTACCTTCCAAACCCAGTCTTTAGAGACCGATAAGCTAAAATTACTGTATGCAAGTTATTAAAATGCTGGAAAATGCTGAATCATGGGGAAAAGGGCATGCATTTCAAATCAGTTCTCACAATGTCGCTTTAAATTCTTTAAACATCTCTACTGGGTACCAGTGAGACACAGGGGCAGCTTTTTCTCTGTAAATATTCTCCATACAAAGGAAACCCATCACTGTAGAACTCATCACAGGGTCATTTCCTATTCTCACATAATGATTTCAGGAAAGACACACCAGGGGCTTGGAAACAGAATGATGTCTTTGGGTAACAGTATCATTACGCAGAAAAAGCCAGCAGACCATACACAGAAACAGATACAAACAGGTCAGTCTTAGTAACCAGCCTCACAACCGAAGCCGCAGCTCTGTGTCAGTGCAGCGTGGGGGTCAGTGATCAGGAGGCCTGCGATCATCCCCGTCAGCAGGAACCCAGTCCATAACAATGTCACAGTCTCAGACGTGAGCAAGTGTGCTGCTCTGGGACAAAGACAAAAAGTTAAATGAGATGGCAGGCACCCCGTTTGCACGACGGGGGGTGAGGGTCACAGGAGAGGTGTGGTGATGAGTGGAACGTGTGAGATGAGGAGGACAGCAGGATGGATGGAGTGACGGAACCATGGGGGACACCCGGAACCCAGAACAGCAGGTGGAGGAGAGAGGAGGAGCAGCCAGGCACCGGGGGTGGGGGGGCTCAGCATGCAGGACGGGTGGTGGGAGCGACGTCAGCCGCTTAGTACACAGGCACGTTAAAGTACTCATGACGGGGCTACGAGAGAGAGAGAGATGCACAGGAAAATCTCAGCATGGGTGCATGTTCACACAGAACCGGCATGCAGGGGGGAGGAGCGAGCGGAGCACCGAGCACCAAGCCGGGCCAGAACACATCCAGGTCTGGCAGCAGTCCAGGGTTCAAGCACATGGCTGCATTTTGGGTGGGGGGGGGGGGGTGTGGGCTTTCCTGGTGGGCTTGCTACAGTGCTATGGACTAAAACACAGCCAAGACCAGCACCTGGTTAGTCAGCTCACTTTGCTGTTCATCAAATTCTTTTAACTTGTTTTACTTAACCAAAAACCATCATAAGCAATCACATGATTAATTTCATATAATAAAAATTGATTACTTCCTCTACACGCTACATGTTACATTATGCGAAAGTTCCAAGCTCTAAGTGTTGCATTTTTCATAGCCAATAACAGGAAACTTGCATTTCCTGGATGTGCCCCTAGGGGGTGCTTATGCAGCAGCCAGTTAATATGCCCACCCTAGGAAAGAGACCAAAGACCTTCATGACTGTGCTACAGCGTTTCCACTACACTTACCTGTGACAACCCAGGACTATTTCACAGCCGCTAAGGATGAAAATTTGTACATTCAGCACGTACAAATTTTCATAAGACATCACATGCAGAATCACAAAAATCGCATAAAGGGCAACTAGCAAGCAATTGCATTCTGCCAATATCATTTCAGTTCTAGCAGTAGGCAGTAGACCTGCACCTGGATCTACGCGACACATGACTAGGCAGTGGATCTAACGGACTATCTACGGATGTACTTTACTGCAGTACCTCTAGTTCTGGAACAGACCCAGTGACTCAGACGCCCTGTTTGGGAAAAGCGGACCTGCAGGTAAACAGTCGAGGCGTGTGAGGGGAACAAAACAAAAGCCGTGTGAATTCTTGCCTGCTCTGCGCTAACGGCGAACGGCGGCACCTCCTGCCCAAAGAGTGCTCACCTCAGACCCAGGCTGCGGTCACGAGGACCTAGCATGGCGCACGTGAGCACAAGGCAGAGCGTGGGGAGCCGTGCACCGTCTGCTCACTAATCCAGCTTAACCCGACGGAACACGCCTGCGATATCAAGGGAGCAGAGGAACGACTCGCTGAGTACAGATGGGGGGAAGCCAGCGTGCAGGCAGACGGACGCCTCCTGACGCGGGGGGACGACCAGCGGTGTCACTCACACCCAGGGCTTTAACATCAGAGAAGCTCATTTCCTGACTCTTTCCGAACGTCCCGCTGCAGAGACATTTTTCCATTACAGGCTGTTTAAAGTGGTTTAATCTTAATGCTCCAAAGAATGTCTCCATCTAAGCAGCTTCCACGTCATTATTCTCCTTCAGACTGTGAAACTCATTCCCAGGCCTGTTTTTTCCCCCCCCCCCCCAAAAAAAGCTCAAATGCCCCCCAGCCTTTATTAATGGTGTCTTTTTTTTATAAACAGGCATGCTATTTGTAGGCATATATGAATTATTAGTAAATATGAAGGTGGTAGCTGACAGGAATTTAGCCTGAATGCACCTGAAACTCAGAAGTTATTTTCTGCCATTTAAAAATATAAAACTTAACAACAAAAAAAAAAAAAACTCCGCTAGGATTTCATAAAGTGATGAAGTTTAGACTTTTTATGAACAGTTCTAACTCCCCTCAAGTTAATCAGGCATGAATGGTGAGCGTGCCAGGAGCTGTCCACCGTCAGCTCATGCGGGCCAGGCCGGGGTCAGCTCAGCCAGCAGGGGTACTTCCACATTCAAATCCGCCGTCAGCAGCATCATCTGCCCTCTCCGGACAAGTAGAACAGGAGGATTTTTCAATGACAGGGACTAATTTTCTAAACATGGTTCATGATGCTGCTTTACTGCATCCCTTTGAGAAAATTCAGACCCGCCGTATCACGCAAGCTTTCAGAGTCTGATAAAGAACATGACAGGGCCAACAAGTGAATATTAATTTCCTTTGATAGCAAAAGGCGTCGTATTTGGGGGAATCTGGTGGGCTGGAGAAAAGACTCCATCGGCCACCAAGGTTAGACACCACCTCAGGCATTAATAATAGAAGAGATGAATCAACATTAAAACTGGCCAGGACGTCATGGGTGCTCAGTGCCAGAATAAAGGTCGCCTGACATCGCCAAACGCTTAAAAACACACACAGCTTGGAGGGTCATCAGGGGCCGATAGAGATACAGGGGAAAGATCAGTCCCATTGAGAGCGTCCTCTAACCCCAGAGCCTGGCTGATGGGAGCCTCTGTGGGCTTCCGCTGCAACCCGAAAGAACCACACACGGAGGAAGAGGAAACAGGGCCACACTTCAGTCAAAGAGCCTGGTTACAGTGTAAAAACAGAAACCTAGATTACGACACCCGAGACCAGATGACACAACAGCAATACCGTCTTACTGGCCTGTGCACAAGCGTTTCCGTTACCCTTTAAAATTTAACGTCTGGATAAGCTGGAATGCACAGAGAGATAGTCTGCAGCCATCTTAGTACATACTGTATAAGCGGGATGCTGTTTTTAAGCGACGTAAACAGGCCCTTTGGGTAAAGCGGATCCACCTTAGTCCTTTTCCCGGGGTTGACCGACACCATGCAACTCGGGCTCAGATCTGGATGCTGCGATGGAGCCTGGAGCCGCCGCCGCCCCCCCACCGAAAACCAAACCGCGACGACATCACCAAGCAGGAAGTAGAGTGGATGGTGTGGCAGATTGGCGCATGCAAACCAGCACTCCGCAGGAGAGCCATGCTGTCCTGCCGGCTGAGTCCGGCGTTTACCAGGTCTCGGCCTTCGCCCTGTTATAAGATCTCCTCTGTGGCCAAACCTCCCCAGTCTTCAGTCTGGCTCTACAACAGAAAACCACGCGGCATGAGATCAGAGGCTCTGGCCCACGGTCCTTGCCGGGGATGGACGCTTGGAGCAGGCTGAGGTAAACCATAAAATGAGAAGGTGTCTAAAATAACCTGGATTTGTTTATTAAAAACAACAACCTATAGAGCATGTTCCTTTGAGGATTAATGAATGCACCATCTGTATGCACCACACAGTGTATGTACTCCCTGTTTGGGGAGGAGAGGAACCTAACTACTGTCACTAGCTTCATCTTCTCTGATACCTCAGTCAAAGGCGCTCTCAGCAGGCTGAAGATGATGATGACGATGATGAGGTCTCTTCTTCCACAGCACCTCACCTTACACAACCACGCCCTCAGACGTGGGATCTATTCGCAACTGACTGTCTTTCATGTGACAATTTAAAAACCAAAGAATCAGGAACTTGCACTGTCTACAGTGATCTGCAGCCATGAAGGTCCCACACACAGGCACACACAGAAAACGCTGGCTGGGCGCCGTCCAAGGGCATGTGGCGCCGCTCAGACTCCTCCCGCTCTCCGTGAGGAGAAGGTGTTGGGAGCATCTCTTTGTGTGTCCTCTCTGCTCACAGCAGGCCATGGTTACAGACCTGCCCGCTTGCTAATAGGCCGATAATCTGAGGCGGCGACACGCAGGAAACCCCCCCACATCATCAGGCAGCATGACGTAAACTCAGGAGGAGAAAAGGATACAAAGTACACAAAGAGGTATCACAGCAAATCGTACCAAGCATACCCAACTACCACTGCCTGGTAGGTACGAGTAACCAATCACCCTATACTACACACCTGCAGAGTGGTAATTTATGGCAATTTTGAAGCTTAAACCACAAATACGTTTAGTTTGCATCTGAAACATCTGTGAGTGTTGCTCAGCTATAATAAATGGTTTAAGGTATGAATCTGGTCTGTACCGTTTTAAAGCAGCATTAGACAACAACAATTTCAGCTTGGATTTACAGGATATAAATGGTGGAAAAACAAAACGGGGACTTCAAGGCTGGGACACAGGCTTCATTTCATCTCAGAAGATGGTGTTCATGTCCCTGCACCACTCAGCATTTACAGGTGACTCACTACACAGTGGTGCATCTCCCACGGGTCCCAGAGCACCAGCACCTGAAAACAAGCTATGACAATGGGCTATGGGGAAATTTCTTCAATAGCAGTAACATCACGATCACTGGTCTGTTAAGGTTACTACTCTGGGATTAGAAGTCACTGATCAGGACTATAGCTAACAGATATGTGGGGCGGCCCAACCCTGGTCCCGATTAGACACGATCCAGGCTTCCCCTTGTGACCCATTTCTGGAGAGGGTGGAGTCTAAATTTTAACCCAGTCTGGAATGGCCAATAAATCCCACCATAGACCCAGGAGTTGTCAGCATTTCCTTCAGTGAGTCTGGCTGCTGGATATGGTGCAGCCGCTACAGACCTACTCACACATTCAGAGGGAAGCGCTATTTACACTCTCAGTCTGCAGGCACCTCGCCCCCTTATTAATTTGCGATACGGTAGTTAGTCACTTGTCCAAATGCACCTGGAGAGGGTCTGAGGCACCATGGAGGGCCACATGGGTCAAGCCTGGTCAAGACAGGGTGTGACCATCCGTCGACGAAGCGATTATGCTGCATTAATTGCCATTAGTGTGAATGGACAGTACCTGGTAACAGACGGATCTGAAAGTCTCTATTCTGGAATTCAGAAGTGAGATGCAGAACCAGAGAAACAAATCAGAGGAGAACAAGGATGAGAGGGGAAAACAACAAGCAAAAAGGTGTTTTGATTTGGAACAACAGACCCTGTCAGGAACTGCAAGCAGAGAATAGAGGAATACATGTGATGACTATTAATAGGATAATGAAACCAGCATATGAACAAATGACAGCTGTCCGTGCAGAAGCCGCTCCCCTCTGGGGCTCAAAAACGCTCTCCTGCGAGCATCTCGGAGGAAGCCATTACGTCTAAGGCCGTAACCTTCAGTGTCTCGCTCTGCCAGAAACGCCTCCCCCTTCAAACGATGCTGAGGATAATTCCATTAGGCAGACTGGTTTCTGCTCTTTGGAAGTTTGACCCACTGCCTTGGCATTTCAGAATTTGACATGCTCTCCATTTACCGAACGATTCAACTTCTACACGATGAGGCGATCTGTGGCATCGGGAACTACTCATGGACTCGTGAGTAGCGCCACGCGGACAGCCGAGGGGTGCGGCGTTTCCTGTGCTTACTCTGGGTCTCTCGGGTGTGAATCCACATCAAATAGAACAATTTCTGGATCACTGCTTGGAGACAGAGTTTTAAAGCCAGAGGGAATCTGAGAGGCTGCGATCAGAGCTGGACAAGAGAATAAGGTGGGTGAAGAAATCTGGGAGGCGGGGGCAAGGAATCATCGACTGCTGGACGGCTGGCAGATTAGCACCAAGATGGCGAGCCCCCCCTTGGGGTTCCCCCACACCTCCCCCAAACCGTACCTCCTGCAGCAGGTCGGCCTGCTCGATGGCCTTCAGCACGTTCTTCTTGGAGGTCTCCTGTGCCTCGCCACCCAGCAGGAACTCGTCCAGGATGAAGTAGGCCTTCTCAAAGTTGAAGATGATGTCCAATTCGCAGACCTGTTGGAGAATGGAGCATGTTGGGAGGGCCATGTTTAGTGAGAAACAGGACCGCACTGCCCATGTGCTGGGAAATTTATCCATACAGAAATTAAATTACATCCATTTTCATGCTGAAAAGTGTGGCACAGTGGCTACAGCGACCCTATTCCACTCCATGGCAAGACTGTTCAATATAATGCTGAATGTTGCTCATGCTGGAAATCTTTCACGTGGGTTGGTTTGGCGATGAGTATAAACAATAACTAATCAGCGGTGCAAAGGACTGTAAAAGAAATGAAGGACTCACGCTGCCAAAGTACTTATCCAACAGCTCCACGTATCGGTGGATGATCTCCAGGGTGATGAGCTCGTTGTCTTGATCCTCTATGGCACAGCAGAAATACAAACTAGCGTATCTATATAAAAAAGGGAACGAGAACCTACTGTCAGTATAAAGAGAGACCAGACAGAATAACTGCTCAGGTCTCTTAGGGGTGGGATTCATGACTTATTTACTGGTCCAGGTTGCCACATATAGAATTTTCGGTCCAAATTTACAATTGCGACTGGCTGAAAGCCTACACACTCGCCCGTCGCCCCCCCAGACCAGACATCCACACATTTCTGAAGCAGATGTTTGGAAATTCTTTTCTTTAGACCAGAAGGAAGGTGGTGCTGTCAATCACTGCTTGCTTTTAATCCAGTTGGAACTGGTGAAGCAATTAAAAAATAAATAAAAGAAAAGGGTTAATGCGGGAACTGATTGACAGGATCCCCCCCACCCACCCATCGTGGGTTTTCAAACCGTGAAAGCTCACAAAGGGGAGGAAAAATGAGACAATAAGGCAGACAGCCCCACGTCTGGGGCGTAAAGAAAAGCCAGAGGTTACCGCGGGGGGGCCACTAAGAGCAGAGAGGACAGCTCATGCTTTTCAGCAGGTATTTTCAAACACAAGACTAAGTACCTAAGCAAGGGTGGGGGTGCTAAAAGCGATATATAAAGTACACACAAAAAGATGTGCTGAGGACTGTTTTCCCCCCGTAATACAGAATTGCTACTTTCAGCACATATTCATCTGAAGGCCCGTTGCACGATGCCTTGCCCTCAATGAATCAAATGTGGCCCAGCTTCCTCTCCCTCTCTCCCATATCACAGAAGGCATCCGCAGCGGAGGACTGCGTGGCTATTGGCGTCCTTCAGTCGATGTCCTGGGGTGCAGGAATTCACTTGAAAAAATTCACAGTATTGGAAGGGAGGGGTTTAAAAAAAAAACAAAACAACAACACTACCTGCACCAAAAATAAACCGTATGCTTTTTAGCCGAGCGGATAGCGTTTTCCCTATCATCTGTGTGTTGCATTATTTATACAACTTATTTTTTTAAGGCAAAAAATATAACAATTGCAGTAAATATTTCATGTTTTACGACAGCTTTTTGTTCTTTCACAATACATACCAAAGAACATGAAACATTCGGGGGGGTCTAGCATCTACCTGAAAGACCAGGGCGGCTCCGATAAATCAGGGGAAACAGCGACAAAGCGAGTGCATATTTCTGCTGCTTTTGCTGGATCCGTCTTGCCAGTTAAGAGCACAAGACCTTCCTCACTGGCCTGCAAACGATCCTCTTTGATATCACCTAATGAGAACAGAAAGCAATCCCTCTATCCAGTCAAAGGTACCCTGACAGATGCCAGAATGTAATACGTGGAAAGGGGGACGAACAGCAAAATTTGATCAAAGGCACTTTCAGAAAACCTCTGGGCTCCTGCTCAGCGTGGGTGATGTTCCTCATGTCCTTGCAATCTGTTTCCTAAACAAGTTTGCCTAAGTGAAGACTTGCATTTTGCAAAATATCTACAATAGAGCACAGAAAGGCCATTTCAGTCATATGACACCTGACCTACAATGTCCTACAAATAAGTCACCAACTGAGAAACATGGTAGCAGAGTAACTCCTATTAACAGCTGCCAGTGTCCTCAACATCATGAAGAACAACGAGCGAGTTTAGCAAGACAGAAAATGTACTAACTGTACTTATCTGTGCCACTGTTAAAATCCCTTTAGTTACACATAGGGCTGTGCAACACATCTATAAAATATCATGTTGGGATTATTAACATTCATATCGTCCTCAATTGTGTATCGTGGTATAGACTAAATGCTTGTTTTCTTTCATAATTAACAGTTATAATGCACTATTTTTAAACAAATTCCAAAGTATCAAATTCCTTCAGTTTGTTGTTGGTATAATTTATCATTATACCAGTCACACACTCCATAACTCTTAGTAAAACAATTTTGTCATAATCAGAAAAACTCAAAACCACCTGTCATATTATACTCTTTTCTATATATGGATTTTTGAATATTGTGGTGAATATTGTTAGAATGTCTGATAACATTGATTTCATTTGCAGGGCGTTTCACCCAGGCCTACTCTAACCCGATCCCTGGAACGAACAGCGAGGCAGTCAGAGAAAAAACCTAGTGACAAAACGTACTGTCAGCATTTTCTAGTACTGCGCCGTGCGATAAAAGTTTATTTTTGTATGAGTATTTATATTCGATTTGTCACCTTTTCGGCATCTGTTTAAGGGCAGTTCTAATGGAATTTTAAGCAAAAATGGAGCATAGAAATAAAGTTATCATTACTTGAATTATAACAGGATAATTATCAATGTTGTTTGATATGAAAAAAAATTGTCATGATACTTTGCCAAATCGGCCAGCTCATTATGCAGCAAGTTACATCCATGTAAGGCAGACATCACACTCATACACATCTTCATTGATTTAAAGAACATTAAAAAAATTCATTTGTTTGTATTCATTATAATCTAATCTAAATATACACATTGAGTGAAAGCAATTTTAGGCCAAAACACCTAATTTGTTCATATGTCAAGAATAAAATGCTTAGAGTAACAAACAGCAAGGAGTTTGGGTCACGGGGAAGGTGCTGGCCAAATTAAATACCTACATATAGCGACTCGCTTAGGAATGCGTGTACCCTCCGAAAACTCCTGCGCAAACATGATCAGCTTAACGGTAGGGAAACAGTGTGGATCTTGGCATGATCACGGGAAAACCTTAAAAACAGGTCCGGTAAGCCCCAAGCCCGTCTCTCGCTTTTGTTCCTCAGATCCGTGCTTTTCCCTCCCCCAAGCTCTTACACCGATAAAGCGATCAACCAAGGTGACCCACCGTCTGCCGAGAGCCGGGCCTTTTCTTGTAACACCTGCGCCACCGACGGCACCTGCCGGGCCTGGCTCGCTTCCTCTCATAACCCGAAAAGCGGAGGGTGGGGGGGGATAATTATCAGGTACCCAGCTTTTGCCATGGAAACCCCCCCCCCCAAAAAAATACTACAAGCAAAGTCCAGCTTATTTACACTGCTGCCAGCTCAGGAAGAGCATACTGTCACTACTGCAAATCACACGCGCATAATGATTACTGCCTTGGTGCATTATGGGTCAGTGCCATTCAGCCTGCACACTAAACAGCCACACCCAACCCAGACTTGGCAGGAAAGGGTCCTCCGACACAACAGCTCAGACACAGCAAACAAACAACGCTGTATTTAAAGCCTGTAAAGCTGAACTAGGATTTAGGCCCACAAAGACCACATTCTTTTATACTTTAACCGTGTGGCCGAAGCATAACGGGGATTTTGTGCCGACATGCATTTGTGAAGGCATCCAAATGGACAACCTGTTCGTTTTTCTGATTTCCTTCGAGGCTAAAATTCAAAAGCTGCACTGTGCATCAGTCTGCCCAGTAGTTAAGCGTGCGTTACATTTTCAGATGCAGCATTCTGGCACCAAGGCTCCAACGTGCTTTTCTTAAAGCTTTTCTATTTTTTTTTTTTTCGAAAGCTTCAGCAGTGTGCAGCCACTGGCCGACCTTTTGTAGACAATCTTGAGGTCTCGCCACTCCAGGAAGCAGCACATCTTGGGTTTGCGGGCCAGCACGGTCTGCACCAGCTCCCGGGTTATCTTCTTCTTCTCTTTGTCTGACAGCGGCACGTACCACTTCTGCAGTCTCAACTTGCCCTGTCGGCTGAACAGCAGCATGAACTGCATCTGTGGGAGATGGCAGGGATGGGGGGGGGGGATAGTTAGAGTGAGCAGGGTCACTGGCCATGCCAAGCCAAACTGCACTTAAGAGGATTACTCATCACCATCGCAGGTTTCCGCCAGTCACGTGCCGGACGTGATGCCTGCAGCCCCTAAAGCTACCCAACACCCATTTATCACCATGAACAATCTGCTGTCACTTTGGAGAAGTTGCTGCTGTGTGTAAACTATTCCCAGCTGTGCATGCCCCTCACCTCAAGCAATCAAACCTGCATGCATCCATTGTTTTTTTTTTTAATCCAAAAGGGACTGATTCAGATTAAACCCATTTAGACAGCTAGATATTTCACTGGAGCAACTACAATTAAGTACCTTATTTGATGGTGCAACCCCCCCCCCCCTCGCCCACACCCCGGGACTTAATCCAAAGGACTTCAAGTCCACTGTGTCCCTTTGATCTTTAATGAGCCCCCCCCCCCCCATGCCTGCCCCGAAAGAGCTCATTTCAAAGCCATCAGTCACAATGTGCCAAAGTATAAATGATGGACTGTAGTGACAAGGGCAACAATGAAGGCTGTGCCCCCCCCCCCCATCAAACGGGTTCATGCCCACCACCTCTCTTTGTCCTTGAAAGCAAAAATACACGAAAAATAACACCGGCATTCCATGCAATCACATCGGCTTAGCATTTAGGAACACTGGGATACAAGGGCTTCATGAAATGACTTCAGAGTCAGACTTGACAGTTTATAGGTTACCACAGTGAATTTCGCATTTTGGACACGAAACGACGATGTGCAAATCGTACGACATTCCGCAAATGCCGTTAAAGAAATATCATGATCATCCACAAAAAAAGAAACAAAAATCACTAAGAGAACCTGCAAAAGTGTAAGAGGAAAATAAAGGGTGATTTCACGTGGAGTGTCTGTCTGTAAGCATGCCTTTATGTCAGGGTGCTGCGGTGGCAGCCTTTCAAAGGGAGAATGGTAAAAAAATAAAAACAACGTTGGGTTTTTGGGCCCATCAGCATAATGTGAACCAACCGAGTCGCAGCAAACCTAGTGTATTTAAAGGAAAAGGGTATAAGCCGAAAAAGGGTGTGTGGCGGGGTGGCTGCACTGCCGGGCCGGCGCGTCCCTCCCCCTCGCTCCCACCAGGCCGCCCCGAGTTACTTTCACATCCGCAAAACACCCTCAAACCTATTTATTCAAACTACAATCCACTGTTATAACAATACAGGAGTTGACCTGCTAATAAAGTACAAACGCGGCAGCCCGGCGCCGTTCCGCGGCTCCGCAGCGCCCGCCCGCCTCCGTTACCGATGTGGCACCGTAGTTTTTACAAAGTGAAGCCGCCGATTCATTACCCACCGCGGCCCGCAGCTCCGGAGGGGCTCGCTGCGCCGGGACTTTCTGACAGGCAATAATGCCCTGCGGCTCACCTACATTTGAAAAAGCCATTCCCACGTCGCTAAAAAGGGACACCGCTCCCAAGCTTACCATGAATTATATTCAGGCCTCCGATGCACAAAAACTTGTAAATTGAGCCACCGACATACAATAAGTCCAGCTTAGTATTCACAGTGCTCTCCTCCAGTCTCCTGGCCGTTGTTTTCTGGGCGCATCAGTTAGGTTACTCAGAAAAACCTCTATAAGTTTATTGGATAATGGTCTAGTGTCCAGGTTTGTCATTGGCTAAAAAAATCCGTTATCCCCGCCCATAGCCACACAGTTAACAGAGCGTATGGCTGTGTTAGGCTCCGCTCTTTGTCAATCATATTATTATAATCGCGGTTTGAGGTTTTTTGCATTGTTTTTAGAGAAACAACACATTTCAGTCGAGTTGGAAACAGTAAATAAAACACAACGAACGGTATGTCTAACACCAGTAATTCTGACGCCATTCTTTTTCAACAATTATTGTTAATGTTATTGTTATCGAAGCAGAGATATCTATATATTCGTGAAATGTTTTTGTTTTCCAAATGATATACAATTAATAATATATTAAATAAAATTAATAGTTCTACTTGAACGCTTGGTTGAATAAATACAACAAGCCTTTCAGACGTGAAATAAAATGTAGATCCTATTTCACATGAGCAGACGGACAGAAATACATAATCATTAATTCATTAATCTCGTTTCCCTCAGTAGGTGGTGTTTTTCAGAATTGGTAAAAATTTCATATTTGCACGAGGACAAACATAAAAGTCATTTGTGAGAGGTTCTGCTTATCATAATAAATGTGCTGTATTCTCTTAGTATGTGTTGGAGAGTCTACAAAACACTAAAGCACTACAACCACCGCAAACTGATTGCTCGCTTGCCTCTAATAAGCTTGCGTTGGATTTAAAGTTATCACTTATACAGAGGATACGGACCAAACTTATTATTGACCTCGCCAAAAATATGAAAATGATGGTATAAAAAACAGCATATGGAAAAACACAATAAATTACATCAAACATCAAAGAAAATGAAACCCACTTTGATACAAAGCTGACAGTCCCATGTAAATGACACATGCATATATACACGCACAGGTCTAGAAACAGAGTTATGGCAGAGTTTTTAAAGAAAACGTGCTTTTTCCAGCAGAGGAACAGCACGTTCTCGGGGGCAGGGCGCCCCCTCCCTATCTACAGTGAAGCATAAAGGCATAAACACCGTGAGCAGACCGGCTGCATTCGGCACCAGGAAGCGGCGAAAAGACGAGGCACAGAGGTACGACCACCAAATACCATCCGGTGAAAATTTGCTGTGGTTCAATATGTCGGCGAAGGGGATGCAATGCGTTTTGTAAAATAAGCTGAGGAATTCGGTGTCATCGTTAAAAAAAAGGATAACATATTGGACCTGTCATTGCGTCCTGTTATGCTACTGGAGGTGGCTAAATGCAAAATTGCTTCAGCGTATAATATTAATTAAACAGTAAAAGGGTATTAGGGTGTTGTGATACTGGTGAGGAGTATTGTGGATTGGGTGGATTGGTTTTCTCATGACACGGCGACACGGTTTAATAACCAGATGCTGACATTTGGCCGTGTACAGCTATGGAGGGCTACAGTAGCAGCCTGCTGTCCCTCAGTTTTAGGACCCGGGATTCCACAGCCTCCGCCGAAAACGTTCCATAGTACATCTCCGGGCAAAGTGTTGCGTAACTCATTTCCTGCTTGTCACCGTATTAATCATGAATCTGTTATTATGAAATAATGAACAGGTAGCCACTGCCCCCCCCAGAATCCACCCCCCCTTTCCAAATTCAGTTAACCTGAGAGGACAATGCGGAGTCGCAGTAACTCAGGAGTAAGGCTGGATGGATATGCCCGGCTTGTCCAGCAGACAATCCTACATCATCAGGTAAACTTAAGCTTTACAGTGTATAACCACCCTGCCGTACACTGCTTTGCCTTTTCTTTGTACAGTCTAGTGCAGCGCCCCGGAGGCTGGCAGTTGCACTATGGATAAAAATAAAAGCTCAAAGAAAGGACAGGCTAAAAATAGAAGGGTGAAAATGGAATCTGCTTTATCTACACCATACTTGTGTGTGTGTGTGTTGGACACATGGCGTGTTGATTTGCTTTTGGATGCCGTCCATTCATTACACGCATGCTACAGACCTTAGAAAGCCACAGCCACGATCATAATATGCCCCCCTCTGCTGGTTAAATATAGTGACTGCCAGTGGATATATAGCTAGATATTTTAAAACGGCATTAATTCTCCGTGGTCGTTTCCACCTTTTGGTCACTTTTGCCCCCATTTCCAGGCTTATCTAATACCTATGTCAAAAATCGCTCGTGAAGGGACTTCAGTTTATGTGTCTTTAGCTTCCTCGAATGGGATTGTGATGGGGTCTGTTTTGTGGTTACGGTACACAACCCGGTGACTGCACAGGAGAATTGCCACCACTAGGTGGTGCAGTACATTTTTCCATCCAGGCAACATGTAGTCACGGAGTCACGTACCTCTGGGTGCTGCTCGTTCATCTCGCTGAATTACAGTATGCCAATTACATCATAGAACAGTGGTCGGTAACCCGTCACTGAAGTAGGTGGCACAGCACTCTTTAGGAATCGGATCAATATATATATATATATTATTTTTATTTTGCGTGTACACGTGTATTTGACTCGGATGATGAGCTGCGGATGACGGTGTTAACCGTCACCATAAAACCGGCTAATATAGGCCTGTACGAAACACGTGACTCCCCAAGTTATCTGTAAAATATCTTGTACTGTAAATAAGGTCGGACACCCCTGTTACAAACTGTGGAGCATAATCAGAACCTGTGGATGGCAATTAGATTCAAAATGTAGGTTTTAGGGTTCAGGATAGAATGTTTTGTTGATTGACTGAGTTTATATCAGTTGTGTAATTTTACCAGGTAAGGTGGTAATATAATTAACATTAAGGCCCTCTGTGCCAGAACCCAGTGACGGGTCTGCTGCCGGCCAGCGAGCAGAAGAAGGACGCCTGGGTTCGGGATAATGTGTACAGCATTCTCTCCGTTTGGGGTCTGGGGATGGCCTACCGGAAGAATGCGGACCGCGATGAGGACAAGGCTAAGGCCTATGAGCTGGAGCAGGTGACTTTTCCTGCCGCCATGCTAACTGAGGAATGTTAAGATGCACAGAGTGAGGTATGCTAACTGACACGTTAGTACTGGGGTGCGCTAACTGAGGTATGCTGACTGACACGTGAGTACTGGGGTGCGCTAACTGAGGTATGTTAACTGACACGTGATTACTGGAGTGCGCTAACTGAGGTATGCTAACTGACACGTGAGTACTGGGGTGCGCTAACTGAGGTATGCTAACTGACACGTGATTACTGGAGTGCGCTAACTGAGGTATGCTAACTGAAACGTGACTACTGGGGTGCGCTAACTGAGGTACGCTAACTGACACGTGACTTTTGGATTGCGCTAGTTGACATGCGCTAACTGACAAGCTGTAGCGCTAACAGAAAAACTGGCTGAACACATGCATGGTAAAGCGAGGCCATCTGTCCATTGTGCAGCTGATCATTGCATCTTTTGATTCCACAGAGTGTTGTCAAGCTGATGCAGGGTTTGCTGCAGTGCATGATGCGACAGGTGAGCTCCAGCCAATTCGATGTCTGAACTGCTACTCCCGCTTAATAGCAACCATGATTAGCATCTGCTCCCGGCCACTGCATCACACTGGCTGTGTGCCACTGCAGGTAGAGAAGGTGGAGCGGTTCAAACGCACTCAGAGCACCAAGGACTGCCTGCATGCCAAGTACCACACCCCCACCTGCGGCACCGTGGTGGGGGACGACCAGTGGGGGCACCTGCAGGTGGACGCGACCTCACTCTACCTGCTTTTTCTGGCCGAGATGACTGCCTCAGGTGACCCACTCTCCTACAAATCAGGGGTGTGGCTTTTCACACCCCAGCTCCTCTTTACTGGGACCCAGAAACAGCCCTCTGTCCTCCCCATGACTGCACTTCTACTGTTTACTTCAGGTCTGCGAATCGTATCAACCTTGGATGAAGTGGCCTTCATACAGAACCTCGTCTTCTACATTGAGGCAGCTTACAAAGTTGCAGTGAGTTTAGCTACGAACAGCTGCCAGCTAATAATCCAATATATCCTTCTTGTTATGATAAACAAATTATTACCTTTGTTCCCTTAAGAAACTGCGGTTTCTGTACTGGTTTTTCCAGTAATGCTGAGTGTTTGATCCTATTATACCCGTCACTATATACTCTTTCATGTTGTAACGGGTTCCACTTTATTCTGCCAGATCTGCCAGGTTTTGTATGACATCCACACTTTTGCAGTCGTTAGCCCTGCAGTTACATCATTGGGCACGGCTTTAGATGCTAAGAAATGTAGAAATGTAACCATAAAGGTTCCTTTTGTGCACAGGATTATGGGATGTGGGAGCGAGGGGACAAGACCAACCAGGGGATCCCAGAACTGAATGGAAGTTCTGTGGGAATGGCTAAGGTATGAGTGTGTGAACCGCGGGATGCTGAGATGAACGTGCAGTGGACGCTGTGCTGATGATCACGTGCAACGTGTCCATAGGCTGCGCTGGAGGCCATCGATGAGCTGGACCTCTTCGGGGCTCATGGGGGACCGAAATCTGTCATTCACGTCCTGCCGGATGAAGTGGAGCATTGCCAGGTGGGAGCTGCCTCACCAAACGCTTCATATAACATTATATCTTCTGCTTTGTGAGCTCCTGCAGGTCAACAAGTAGAGCACTGTACTATCAACCCAGTGGTCATGGGTTCAAATCCCAGGGAATACATGTGAATTGTCACTCTTCCTTCTACTGTTGCCTTGAATATGTGTCAAGTAAATGTCTTTTTTTCCTAAACGTCCCATATGTATTTATTTCAGTCCATTCTATGCTCCATGCTTCCGAGAGCTTCCACATCTAGGGAGATTGACTCCGGTCTCCTGTCGGTCATCTCTTTCCCGGCGTTCGCCGTCGAGGACCCTGACCTAGTCAGCATCACCAAGAGCGAGATCATCAACAAGCTACAGGTGAGGGAGTGGGGGGTACAGGGATGGGAGGGGGTGGGGGCTCAGAGATGGGAGGGGGTGGGGGTGCTTGTTCCACTCTGTCTTCTGACACCCCCCCCTGAGACTGGAGCG